TTCATCAATAAATTCGACAAACAGAAAAAAAAATAACCATCTGAAGATCCTTCATCAATCGTAAGCGGAGGATCAGATGTATCTGAATGCATGCTAGGCAGTAACGGTGGTTTTATTTCCAAAGGTGTGTTTGATGTTGAATCAGTTATCGAATCGTACTAAAAAGTTTGAAAGCAGAATTCTTGCTTTAGTGCTGACTTCCATTTGAAACATATTTTTCTAACCACTTGCACATCACTTGAAAGAAGCAAGACTGTAAGATTAAAAACATTTTCAGCATAACTTCCTATCAAAATACAAAAAACAAAGATTTGAAAAACCCATTAAATTTGGAAAAATTTAAGACCTTCATCGACGCTTTAGTATTCTTCGGTGATGCCCGTTCTGATGAAGATGACGGAACTACTGGATCCGACTTTGCCAAACGCTTGATAGGTGATTTTTTATCAAACACTCTCTTCTTGGTGAAACCTGCAAAATGAATACTATTTTCTGTGAGTCATCACGCAAAAAATTTTAGATTCCGCATATTTCAATGACTGTTTCCATCTGACAATCGTTCCCATATAACATTTATTGTACCAAAAGGTACGCATACTTCAATTCATCAAAAAGCATTATAAAATGTAAATATACTTCCATGTTCAACAACACTCACGAAATATAACGAAAACTTACACAGATTACTGGACTCCGTGATCGGGCGTTTCACACATCTCCTTTCGACTGATAGTGTGAACTGAAGTGATAGCAATTTGAAATGAACTGGCTGATACAAGCACCACATCTTAAACATTTGTTCCTCCGCTATGCACCCAGCCCGTTGCAGATACAAAAAAATGAGAAAATATTCCGGCATTCTACGCAGCAAGTGGATACGGATTTTTTTGAAATAAAAAGTGGAAACACCCAAAAACATAGTTTCTATCCTTAAAAAAAAACCTTGTTGATAATAGCATCGAAATTTGCATCACTCTTCAGTGGTGTCTTTTTCGGAAGGACTTTATGGCATGAAGGACACTTCCTTGCTCCAGTATGTATTCTTTGCAATATACAATCTGCACAAAAGCGGTGCATACAGTTCTGGAATGAAAAACTAAAGTAATTCATTGTCACCTTCCACAATTGTGAAAACAATTGGAACTTTCCAAGATAAGTGAAGGTAGGCATCAATGGGATACTGAATTTACTTTGGACGAGAGGCAAAAAAGCACTGATTCTGCATTTAATTCAAAAACAGCTACTCTTACCCTCACAACCATCGTATTTTGTATTGTCTTTTCGCAGATGCCACATTCTAACTCCTTACTAATCCAATCGAAATGAACAGATTTTGCATCAACACCGGAACGTAACGTATGTGGTTTACGTGATTTATCATACGATGTCGACTGTGGTAGCGTAAGGCGTCGTGATGCAGGTGGACCATCACTACGCCCAGATACCATTTAATTTTTCACTGAAAATTTTTACTGTAATACTAAACAGCATTGATTTAAACGTGAACAGCACTGATTTAAAAAGTCGATGCGATCGATGGTACTAAAAATTTGATAATGAAGACTCCGTAGTGAAGAGGTGATTTAAATCTAAGAACTTAGAATTTGAGGTTAAACATCCTGGTAGTTTATCACTTCCGCAAACAATTTATAAGTGATTTTCAAGTTCGGCATAATGTGCGAATTTCGGCAACTAATGAGGCGAAAAATTGACACCCTGTCGGCACGGGATGCAGTCACCTTGTTTGTAAATTCTAAAGAACAAACTCACGTAGACCTTCGGAGAACTTACTAAACCAACAATAAGAACTTACCCAGCACCCAGAACCTAACCACTGCTGAAACCAATTTTCCACTAGCAAAAAAAGGAACGGCGAAGTCGGCACATTGCCAAACCGAAACCATAGTACAGAGAATCATACTTTGGGAAAAATGGCATCTGAAGCAGCACTACTTTCAAGATAATCCAAATGAAATGATGAATTGGAAATTTACGCGAGACTTTTCTGTGAGAAAAGGGTTTAAATTTTTTCCCTCCCCCTCTCCTGGTCACTCAGCGTCGTTTATGCCGGTGGGAAAACGACTACCAGCGGAACTTATCGTCCGAACGGTGAAGTTTATCAGTGTGGTGGAAAATAATGTCAAAATGCATATGAAAATCAACTGATACTTTCTTGATTTCATCCTGCGTCAAACCCGAAGACTATTTAGCGTTCAATATGCTCATGTATTGTCGATTTCCTATTGCATACATTCAGAGAATGTCAGAGCTTGAAATACAATAAATTATTCCATTCATGTCCTCATCGAGACGCGAAATAAGCTTTCCAAAATATATCTATAGGGCTGATGAGTTCGAGGAATACAGCAAAATAGTACTTATGATTGTGGGAAAAAAGATACTCACCGGAGGACATAAAGTTTATCCTATGCCATCTGGCAATAAAGCCGAAACATATCCGTGCTATGACAAAATGCTTAATCATTTATTTCAGTCGAAAGCTCTAATAAAACATTGATAATACCCTTATCAGTAAGCCGACATAAACTCAATCCATTACAATCTTATCGGTCTTTACAACCGCAAAAATGCGGCAACCACATCTTCTGTTTATGTTTCATAGTTTGTAACATGAAATCTTTCCAATAAAATTTTTACTTATGAAATTCAAAAAAAAGTTACGGAAACCTACCGATAATCAATGACGAGTAGGGACGTTTCGCGATATATGTTTTAGAGGTAATGGGTTCTCGAATATTAATGTACTTCAACATCAATGTTTCTCTTCTCATCCAACTATTGCATAGTTAAAAGCTATACATTCCAAACATCTGATACATTACTCCTGGCAAATATGTATAGTCGAGTTCTTTATGCCGTTATCCAGTTGGAATTTTCCAACTTTCAATAAAGCGACTCAAATTGATGGCAAATTTGTTTGACTGTATAATTTCATCCAATTAGTTTACCTTAAAAAAATTCACGTCGTTATTTTTACTGAATTCTCAATTTTGACTTCCCCATCGATTTTTCGATCTGACAGTAAACAAGCATGTCATAAAACACCTCGCTATACGTCGATAAGCGATAATTTTATTTGTTTATCAAAAATATTAGATTAGACAAGAAAATTCAAACAAACCTGCTGCAGGCAAATGAATAATTCCTCCTCCTCATAGTATCTACAGTCTTCATTTCTCCGCAAGGTGGGATCATAATCTATCAGTAGAGTCGAACTCAGCCGATCCGAGCTTTATTGATGACTGTCGCTGACATCGCGAGCGGAAACAAAGAAACAGTAATCCCCTTTGTTGAAAGCCAGACATCTATTGTGTTATATGCTCATATCGTCTTACATTTGCGCTAACGAAGAACACTGTACCAATATGCGCTCCATAAGGATGCTAATTCTTGTAATCATAAAATGGTATAAGGCCCTCCCACAAAA